CACCCCTCAGTGGAAGGGAGGGGTGTTCAGCAGGAATCAGTCCCAGGCCACTGGGGACAAATGACAGCATATTCTTAGCACTGAATCTCAAAAGAGTCAGTTGTTGTGCAGTTCTGCTCAGACACGTGGGGCTATGTCATCGTAATAAAAACATAAACAAAGGGGGAGAAGAAAAGACAAAATGAAAACCAAAAACAAACCCTGCAGAAGCTGTCATGTGTGAACTCTGCCAAGACTCATTTCTGCATTGTTTTTGAGTTGGTGTCAATTTGTTTTTCCAAGACAGAAGCCCCAGCCTTTCATCTCAGTAACTATGAAAATACATTTTCAGGCCACCTTGCCTAGAATGCCCTGTTGAGGGCTGTTGGATAACCATCTGCCTTGTAAGTGGCTATTGTTGCTGTGATCTGTCCCTTTCATACCATTATCTTCCTGAAAAGCCTTTTCTAAAAGTAGTCCATCAGAGCAGGGAAAGAAAAACCTCGGTGCATGGCCACACAGCAGAATCAATGGCTCCCTTTGATCTGCAAGCTCAGTCAGTACTACAAATTTAAGAAACAACAAGGTTTTGCTTTGCTAAGCAAAGCCTGTTAATTTGGCTCATCTGCACTCACAGCATCTTACTGAAAATGCCATCTGTATCAGAAGTTTTAAGACTTTGGTGCAATATTCGCTTAGTTTAGATAAATAATATTGTAAGATTCATTAAAAAATAATCAGTGAATTAATTTTCATAGTGTACAGCTATGCATGTAGATTTTAAAATTCAGTCCTCTGCTACCCTGAATGGCGGTGAGGATATTCACAGTGGATAAAGAAAATGCTGGTTGTTGATGGAATAAGACTGAAGATAGTTTTCTCTTGTTCTAGTCATGGAATTTCCTCCGAAATCTACTACGAATGTTTGAGTCCTATTACTGGCAAGAGCAAAATGCATATGCTCTACATGGAAAATAACACCTCTTATGTCTGTTGCAGGCCACACATCTAGTACAGGAAACTTAGCTCCTATCATGACAAAACAAGTCCACAAAAACATAATTTCATGCTACCGAAAGAAAATCTTTTGTGCTGATATAAAGGAGAGGAGTGTATACCACTGAAATCACTGTAGATAGCTATAAAACACTATGCAATATATATAAAAACTCTAAGAACGTACAAAATTTACCAGGAGGGACCTGAAAGTGCAAAGAGTACACGTAACTAAATACCAAGTCCTGATCTATAAAATCCTTTATGAACGACACACAGCTGATAATTACAAAGCATCATTCAGACCACCAAATAACAAATGAAACAAATAAAGAAAAACATACTTTAAGGAAATCAAAACAATGACACCATTGGGAATGTTATCTTTGGGACTCAGAACACCGTTTCTACCTCAATACCTACCAAAACCAGGGAAAATATGTGCTTAAACAGGGTAACATAAATAAGAATGCAAGCTACCACAAAATGCCTCAGGACTATTACCTCTTTATGTCTCAGCCTTTAAACCCAGCAAGCCATTAACTGTTTGTTCTTAGGCATCTCACAGAATTTTACAGGGATCTTTCAGGAATTATATATAGGTCTAAAGAAAGCCTTTGAACCTCCTTTCAATGATTGTTTAGGCATCGTGTGGAGCTATACAAATATATTTGTATGAAAATTGAAAGCCCTAGTAAATATTAGATCTTCTTTTACCTTTCGAAATAAAAAACATAGATGGCTTAAAGACAAACGTGAATTTTAGAAGTACAAAGTTAATTTGAACATTAAATTGTATCTTTACTCTTACACAACCATTACCCTGAATCAACGTCAGCACGTCGCAGTGATTCGAACTACCGACGCCCTACTACCAGCTACTTTCCCATTTTCCTTTTAAGGATATGATTGTCCTTAAAATATGTACATAGCAAGAAGCCAAACAAGCCGCCGAGAGATTTGCAAAGTGTGCTTACAGCGGGTATGCGACAGAAAGCTTGAGGGAGTGGCTGTGGAGCACCTGGCCTGGGCAGCTGCCCTCCCACCCACGCTCCACGCCAGCCCAGGGCGCCTCGCTCCAGGGGTTAGCACCGAGGAGGAGGCTGCTCGCCACCGTGCAGAGGATGGAGGGAAAAAAAACGTGGCAGGAAAACAAAGGAGAGAGAGAGAAGAATGAAGGGAAGCCAAAGCATTTTAATGATGATTCGTGTTAGTGGTTACGTGATGGGGAGTTAGTCTAGTGTCACACTATTGGTTTCTCGATACAGACATGCCGCAATGCAAACAAAACACATATGATGAATAATTTGACGCACACAAGTCCTGTGGAGATGGCAGCTGGTGTCTCCTAGTGGGTTTAAAGATGCACCACTCCTACTACCTGTACTCAGTGCTTCCAGTTTTTATGGTACTACCAACACATCCTCCCTCCCTCTCAACTTCCAATACCCTATAGAATCTCTCAGCACAATTTGTCCTTAGAACGAAATGGGGAATTATGACTTTTCTGCAGACTTGTCATGCAAGTAAAGATGCGTCCCTTACAGTCAAACAAAAACAAAAGAATGGGAAAAGGAATGTCATGTTTAGGGCTGAGGAGCAGGACAATATTCCATGTTATGTACATACATCCTTCTGAGGGCGTTTCAGCGTTCATTTCTAAAATGCACAAGTGGAGTCAGACCAAACGCAAATCCCTTTCTCGGGCAAAGGAAAGCATGGCCAGCGTGTTTGGAGGCAGATGTGGAGCACAGCCTCCAGGCTGTGCATGGGAGTGCTCACACGAGGGTGAGTGTGCACAGCCTTGGCTGGCGCAGGGAGCCTGCCAGGAGCCGTGTGCTCGCTGCACATGCATATGTACAACATGTCTGTGTGAGTGGGCACACAGGGAACCACACACCTACACGTCAGGAAGAAAACATAAAATAATCCTCTTTGAAGTGTATTAAGGTTCTTAAACCATGAAAACAGGGGCTGGTCAGGGAAACTAACACTTTCACTGGGATGCTGCAACTCGGTATTAAATTCTGCAGCAATTTCAAAACTGGCTGTCAGTTTCACCTTCGTGACTTTAAGGTCATTTCCCCAGTGAACCACGAATCATGCATATACATATATACAATTCTTATTATGGTATTTCCTGGCTTTTTATGGTTTGCCTACAACCTTAATATCCTTCAAATGCATATTCTGTATATTTATTTTCCTTTTTTTTTTTTTTCCTTTTGATTTAAGAGACAATAAAACCAACTGCTATGTAAGATCAGACCCATTAGCTTCAATGATGTGAATTTAGGATTCTCTGCATAATATAGACATGTATATTTTTAAAATGTATATTATTTTTTTAGATACACTGGAGCATATATTTTATATTAACTGTGGTCTGATGATTAAATACTTATATCAAAATATTTTGTAAATACATAACATTTACCTTTAGACTTCAGTGATTTTTAGAGCTTTTTCAGTGTATCATAAAAATATGTCCTCAGGCACATTAAAACCCTATTATATTTCTTTGAAATGTTGCCAATGCCCATGTATAGTAGCCACTATTCAAAAAAGTCATGGCCATTAATACATTTCTCCTAAGATCCAAGATCATCCGACCATTTTATGTACCACTAGATTACCATATTTTTTTCTCTCTTAAAGTAAAATTATTCTGACATTATTGAGAATGAAAATAAAAAGCAATGAGAACCCAAACTTTCTTTAAATAGTCAAAAAACTAATTTTATATATTTTAAAAAATAATACTTAAAAAACACATTTCTTTGCTGGGTTCCTTCTTGGTAAGGTTTAAGCCCAGAGCAACTTTGTCTAAACCCCTGAAAATAGAGGTTTGCAGCGGCAGTGCTGTCAGAACATCAGCTCTGAGCCATGGAATGTGCCACTGGAATAAAATCAGCACTTCAGACTTACTAATCTGGGGATGCATGAGCCCATACAAACCAGAGTTTTTCTCTAATTTAAGGTACTTACACAAAGTTCTATCCTTTTAGAACTGTAAAATTATCTACCTATAAAAACTAACTCTTGCTTAAACTCTAGATAATAAGGACAGGTGATTTTTTTTTTTTTTATAAAAAATCTGCTAAAACACATATATATTTACACACGGCGAGCAAGTTATTGTATAAACGTGGACAGTGTGTATATATTGGCATTTAGTAAAATGTTTCCCTGAACCTGATTGTATGCATTATCGGACAAGTATTGATGTAAACATCTGAACCTACGTCAGGTGTCTCTGTTACCCATTTACATTAGACCAGATCAAAACCAACCAGACAGACAGACAAACGAAAATATGTTTTCCTGTTAGACGAGTCCACCTAACTCCTTAGTTTTATCTCCTGCACACAAGTCAATCAAGTCTGCTGCTGAGCAGTGTTCTCGTTCCTACAGCAGGTAAAATACCTGTTAGGTGGGTTGTTTTCTGCTTGGCATTTTTTCCAGCATCTTCCGGAGCAAACATCGTTTCCAGAGCCAGCCAGGCACCTGGCCTCTCCTCCTCCCCGAGGAATGATTAAAAGATAAGTGTATTGGAGAACCTCTTATGTCGCTCCTTTTGTAACTCTGTTCCCTTGAAGAACTCATGACACTGCTTTGCACAAGGAAGGATGGTCATAATCCAAGTCCTGCTTCCAGAAAGGCATGTAAAAATGAACCTCCCCAGTGTTTAGTGTTGCAGAAAAAAGATATAAATGTAAAAAAAAGTGCTCAAAAAGAAGTTGACTTATTGTATTCGGCCATACAGTCTAGTAAGAAGAGACTCAGCAGTGCAGGCCCACGGAGTACAGTGAAGGAAGCCTTTTAGGTGACTTTCTTCAGGTGATGCAAAACAAATTCATTATCTGTGGTTTCCTATGCAGACTTTCCCGCATGGATTTCGTTCTCTGTCTTTGTCTCCACCTCTTACCCAACTACTTTTTGGCACTGTCCTGGTACGTGGCAGTTTTCACTGTTGTCCCTGCTACGCCCCTGTTACTGACCCGGCGTACCAGGACTTTGGAGACGGGGATTTTTGTTCTGTGCATCTCGCTTTTGGCCAGGTGATGGTGTGCGACGTGATGGCTGTTACTGGCATCTGCTCCATGGCTGGCGGGATGCGACGAAAGGTGTTTAATGCTGATGGGTATCTTGGAGTCCTTGGCTGTGCTTGAGGGTGTTTTCAGTGAGCTCACGGTCGTTATTGGAGACACGGGCTTGGAGCGTGGCACACTGGAGACTTCCTCGTTCGTAGGCCCCGCTGGTGGGTTCTCATCCGGCTCAGCATAAAGGTCATAGAGAGCATCTCCACTGTAGCTATCCCTGGGAAGGGTTTCCTTCTGGATGCTTGTGGAACTGTCTTCCTCGGGACCAGGGGTGGTGGAATCCCAGTAGCCCTCGTCGCTGTTTGGGACGCCCTCGTGCTGCTCCTTTTCCCTGCTCTTCTGCTCCTCTTTGTGGTTCAGGTGAATGGCAATCTGGTGGAGGCCACCACGTTTCACCACCACCCTGTTCTGGGCCCCTTCGGTACCTCGGGTTTCCTTCAACCCCTCGGGCTTCTTTGTCCCTCCTCCGCTTCCTCCTCCCTGTGTCTGAGTCTCGTCCGTGTGTGAGAGCATATCCCAGAACTCCTGCAGGCAGGTGTCGTCCACCTGGTCGGGGCTGGCCATCTCCTCCCCTCCTCCCTGGTAGGCCACCATGGTGGGGTGCTTCTTGGTGGCACCCAGCTTGCTGGGCCCGGGGGTGCTCTTCTCGCAGACGCCACTCCCGCCGCCCACATCCTCCTCATGGTCCGCAATAATATCTCCGCAGCCTGTAAGAGAGTCAAAGCTTTTCAGTGAAGTCACGTCAGCAAACATCAAACAAATACGATCAATCGATTGCTCTGAGGGTGGATCAACAGAGGAAGGGTCAGGGGCGGCTGCCGTCTCTTGACCGCTATCACAGTGAGGTTCAACAGGGGGGATAGTCGTTATTGGAATGTCACCTGTTATCGCCGCATCCTTCGCGGTCCCAACCTCTCCGGCGGCCGACTCCGGTCGCTCGCGGCTGAGCTCCTCGGGTGGCCGCGCTGCGGCGGGCGGCT